TTCTCATACTTGGCCTATCGCCTCAGCACCGCGCGCATTCGTTGGCCAATGTAGCGTTTAGCAGCGCGGAGGACTGGTGTTCTTCGACGTGGTGATCTCGCGTGAGCTTTCGTTGGCATTAGGGGCCGTCTTCCGCGTCCCCTTTCTCGTCGTCCTGCTCCTCCTCCTCCTCCTCCTCCTCCTCCTCCTCCTCCTCATTCCTCCTGCTCCCTCCTCCTCCTCCACCTCCTCCTCCTCCTCCTCCTCCACCTGCCGCAACGCGGCGTGCCGCAGGGGCCGGTGGAAAAGGAGGAGGAGGAGAAGGAGGAGGAGGAGGAGGAGAAAGCAGTTCGACCGGAGGAGGAGGAGGAGACGTGGAGAAGGAAGAGGGACAAGAAGAACCGAGAAGAATGAAGAGGAGGAGGAGGAGGAGGAGGAGGAGGAGGAGGAGGAGGAGGCCCGATCGGAGCCACAGGTGGCGCAGCGGGCCTTGGCGCCTCTGGGGTGGGAGGCGCGCCTTGCCTCACCCCCGCCGCCGGCCCGCAGCCCCTGCGGCTGGCGGAGACGCGTGCAGCCCCACGAGAGCGTGCCGCTGGTGCCGGGCGTGCACGCCAAGGCGTGCTCCTGCGCCGCGGGGTGAGCGGGTCGTCAGGGAGCGGGGCCCTCCACAGGCCTCAGTCGGAAGCTGGGCGAGGGCTGCTAAAGCCGTGGCTGCTAAAACGGCCCTCCCGGAAGGAAAAAACAATTTCCCGGAATGAGGCGCGGCACGCGAAACAGTGAATGGGCTTCTTCCCGGAAGGACGAAGAAAGACAACTTTCCGGAGGTCGATTTTAGCAGCCACTGATTTAGCAGCTTTTGCCCGGCTTCCGAACAGGCCTCAGGATTGTCAGGGGGCCACACGCGAACCCTACCCCTATCCCCCCACGATTTCTGGGGGGAGGGTGGGGTTCACTTCGTCGAATACACGCCGAATACACGCCGTACACACGCCGCGTCGAATCCGCGTCGAATACAGGACTGTCGAATCCGCGTCGAATGCACGCCGAATGCACGCCGAATCCGCGCGGAGGCCGCATCGAGCCCGCGTCGGGCACAAGGAAAGTCGGGGTCGCGCAAGCATGGATTCGCGATCCGTGGAGCTGGCGCGCGGCCGCCACGTCCCTGGATCGGGGGAGGCGCCCTCTCCAAAGCGCGGCCGGTGCCGCCGCGCTCGGCGGCGGAAGCCCGCGACTCCCCATGGCAACGGGGCCCGTCGCTGATCCACGCCTAGGGGGCCACACGCGAACCCTACCCCTACCACCCCACGATTTCTGGGGGGAAGGGTGGGGTTCACTTCGTTCGGGAGTTCCCAAGCGTAGTGAACCCCACCCTCTCCCTCAGAAATCGTGGGGGGTAGGGGTAGGGTTCGCACGCGGTCCCCTAACTGTCAAACAAAAACGAACAAACACGACTTGGGACGAAAAGCTGATCCTGGGGGGAGTCCCTCTGGTCCAGGACCCGTTTCCCTCAGGACCCGTTTGCTTTAAGCCTTGACACCCCCCCACGTCTTGAGCTGCTCCTCTGCGCCATCCCTGCGCTCCTCCGTGTCGTCCGTCAGAGGGGGAAGAGACACCGATACCGCCACCCTTCCTCGTCGGCATGGCTGGATTCGTCTCCAAGTCCTCGTCTGAACGCACCTTGGGAGAGGTCCGCGGAGTAGCGGTGGCATCAGTACATTTAGTTTCCCCCATGCGTTCCTCTGCTCCGCCCCCTCCCCCTCATCATGGGAGGATGGGAGGACATACCACTCTCTGACCCCAAGATCGGCGAGTGGCTGACAGTGTTGGGCGTTTACAATCCTAACGTCCTAACGTGATCGGTTGCTTCCGTGGGCGCGCTTACTAGAGGGCTTCGGTTGTGTGGGTGCCTCGTATGAGGGTGGTTCTTCTGCCCTTCTGCCCCCCCGTCCCTTCTGTCCTCTTTCGCTGTCTCCCCATGCATCCGTTCCTTTGGCTGCTCCCCCACCCATTGCTCCTGCTCCCCCTCCTCCTAGCCTTCCCCCCTTTTCTCTGCATCCTCCCCCCCCCCTTCTCTCCCATCCTTTTCCTCCTCCGCCTCCTCCTCCTCCTCATCTTCCCTCCTCCTTGCACATAATCAATGTACCAATCATCCTAAGCTTTAGGGCCCTTCAGTGACTTGGGTCAGTTGCCCTCCCAGGTAACGGCCGTTCCGTTTCGAGTACGTGCCGCCTTGACAGCGCGCCGCCGGTGTCAGCACGCGTGCATGTGCGTGGGCGACTGCGCTTCGGAATGGCAACACATCCCTCCTCGAAATCAGACGCAAGTTTCTCCCGCGACGCGGAGACGCCCCCGGGCCCCGAATTTCAACGCTGACGCCGACGCTGGCGACTGCCATTTGCTTGTTGACCCCGCGGGCCGCGCCGCGTGCGTCCATCAGCGCTGACATTCGGGGGCGAGGGGGGTCGGAGGACAACCTGCGTTTGGTTTCGAGGAGGGTTGTACGCTCCTCCAAGCTTTCGGGGCACATCTCTCTGTCACCTTTTTTTCCTCCGCCACCCCCGATCAGCACAGTTCCTTCGACGAGGTAACTAGAGCGATCTCCAGTGCGTGCTTGGCGAGGAAGGCGATGCGGCGATGGAGATCACCATGCGGAGGAGGAGGAGGAGGAGGAGGAGGAGGAGGAGGAGGAGGAGGAGGAGGGAGGAAGAGGTGGAGGAAGAGATGGAGGAGGAGAAGGAGGAGGAGGAGGAGGGAGGAAGAGGAGGAGGAGGAGGAGGAGGAGGAGGAGGAGGGATATGATGGATCAGGAGGAGCCCAGGTCACCCGTAGGGGCGCGAAGATAGTCGCGCTTCGCGCGTTGTGGCCCGGGCCGGGGCGGCTGCCTTTCTCTTATGGTCGGGAGCGGAAAAGAGGGGGGTGATGTCTAGGGGGGGGGATATCATGGCGCGGGCCATGAGATTTCCTCAGATTTCATGGCGCCTCTTCTTATTTCATCACGTCCCAGGCCCCCCCGCTGGGCCGCGCACATGCCGCCGGTCATGATTTGCACCCCCCCTCTTGGACACCCCCCTCTTGGCCGCTCCCGATATGTGGGCGGCGCGAGGGCGCGAAGATAATCGCACATCGCAGGGCGCGACGTGGAACGGTAAGTGACCTACAGTCGGGGCCCAAGCCAAGAAGCACCCTGCTTGCCTCCAGAGTGCCCTGGGTTGCTTGGGTTTCGATGGTTTTGCCATGGAACGCGTGACGGCTCCCACACCAAACATCGATGGACGTCCTTGGGTCTCACGGTTGGGTTTCTTGTGGAAGGTTTCTTGTGGTCGGGCCCCTACTGTAGTATCTGAGGTTGGGGGGTGAGATCGCAGTGGAACGGAGACCCTGAACCGTGAAATCGTTGCGTTTCGTTCGTGTCGTGCGTGCGGGCGAGGCGAAGCTGCGTGGGCGCGCGAGAGGAGTGAACTCGCCGTTGCCAGGGCAAAGTCAAGACAAATGATTCATCCTCTCCCGTCCGTCCGTCCGTCCGTCAGGCGGTGGCTCGCGGTGTCCCGCGATGTCCCGTGGTGTCCCGTGGTGTCCCGTGGTGTCCCGTTGAGTGAGATCGATACTGAGATCGATGTGGTGCCCCGAGGTGTCCCGTGGTGTCCCAAAAAATGAGATCGATAGCGAGATCGACAGGTGTCCCGTGGTGTCCCGTTGAGTGAGATCGATACTGAGATCGGCAGGTGTCCCGTGGTTTCCCGTGGGGTCCCGTGGTGTCCCGTTGAGTGAGATCGATAGTGAGATCGATTGAGTCAGATGTTGGTTCCCCCCCCTCTCCCCCCCACAACCTCCTCATCTCCCGAAGGGTGGTCGTATAGGTATGACTCGTCCGTGGTTTGCTCCTCATCTGTTATGCCGGTCTTCGACCATCGGGTGTCCATCAAATACGATGTGCGCTCTCGGCTGTATCGATGTTATTCCGGTTGGCTGACCTCAAGCTGATTCGGGGCCACCTCAGGGGATCTCAGCCGCGCCCTCGTGCTCTTCTGCGCACGTTTTGAGAGCGCGCGCTCCTCCTCCCTCTCGCAGTCTGCTGCACGAGTGCAGTGGGGTGTGTGGTCCATAGGTGCCCCCTTCCGAGCCTCCCCCCCCCCACTTCCCCTTCCTCCTCCTTCTTGCCCCTCCATCCCCCATGCCTTACCCCTCCTGCCCTCACCTCCCCTGCACATCCCTCCATCCCTCCCCTCTCTCCACTCCCTCCCCCCCCCCCTTCCCTCCCTCTCTTTATGCCTCCCGCTTCCCTCCTCCTTCTCCTCCTCCTCCTCCTCCTCCTCCTCCTCCTCCTCCTCCTCCTCCTCCTCCTCAAGTCTCTGGTTGGCTGTCCGCCTTCCGCGGCTTCTTCGCTTGCTCTCAGGGAGGGTTTCGGCCCACTGCTTTTCGGAAGGGGGCCCCATCGAATAACATGCGCAGCTTGGTATCGAATGTCTAGTGGCCTTCGGCCCATCCCGCCGTCGTGCCTGGGCTAAATGTCAGAGGCCTCATGGATGCCTGTGGGGATCTCTCGGGAGGCCTCTCCGAAGCCCCTTGAAGGCGGTCTGGGGACCTCTCGGGGGCATCGTTCGGGCCTGTTGGGGACCTCCTGAGGCTTACTGCGGGCCTCTAAGGGGCCTGCTGGCTATCTCGGGGGTCATCTTAGGGCGAAGGGTTCGAAACGTCAGTTTGAGTTCCGTCTCTTGGGCCCTTCTTTCATCTTGGGGGCTTCTTCGGCCGTCATGGGGTCCTCTTGGGCCGTCTTGGGACATTATTGGAAGTCTCCTAGGCCGTCTCTGGGTGATCATGAGGGCCTCTTTGGCCGTCTTGCAGCGTCGGGAGCCCGAGAAGGCGAGAACGCTTACATCCTTCAAGCGCAGAAGGAATAGGAATCCTCTTGGGTGTCCCTTCGGGCGCCCTGGAGGCGTCTTGTGCGGTGTTCAGGCCATCTTGGGCATCTTGGGGCGATCGTTGGACAATTCGAGGCCGTCTTGAACCGTATGGGGGCATCTCAGGGCCCTCGTGGGCCATTTCGGGGCCCTCTTGCTTTCGTAAAAACTTGGGGACACGCGACAACTCGCGGGAAGCCACGAGAGCGGCCCGAATTCCGGGCATGTGGGCTCGTTTTATAGCCGTACAATTGTCAACGCAGAGGACTCTGAGGGAGCTGAGGCCACTCCAGCTCCTGCCTCCGGGCGTGGTGGCGGATACGACTCGTGGTCTACAGTCGGCCCGGATGAGTAGGTCGACCCTGCCAAGTCAAGGGTACCCTCGTGTCCTGTGTCTCGCGGCCCGTGCCTCCTGCATTTCTGCGGCAAGGGGGCCCCCGGAAGGGTCCTGTGTCCTCTCGTTTGGGCGTTGCGTAATGGGGGGGTCATAAATGGAGGGGTGGCGAGGGTGGTCCGAAAAGGTACCCAAACGGTGCCTAAACGAGCCCCCTGGGGCTCCGGAGGGGCCCGAAAGGGGCACGAAAGGGGACCGTTTCTGACCCCCCCATTTGTGACCCCCCCATTAAGCCACGCCCAACTCGCGTGTCCTGCCCAATGAAGTCCGGCTGCCGCCAAGGCGCCGAAGCAGGGGCCGCTCTCTGGGCTCGGGGGGCAGCTCCGGCGTTCGGGCTGCGCCTCACCTGGATCGGGGGGAGCCCTCTCGTGGCCGGGGCTCGCGGTGGGCCAGGAGTCCCCGTCGTTCCCCACATCTTGTGGCAGTCGATTCACTGCGAAATTGTTACCAGATGTCAAAACATGTTTCAACCATGTTTTAGATATTTGAAGCATGCCTAACACATGTTTAGAGCATGCTTTAGACTTGTCAAACACATCTTCAATTCAGTGACAAGATGGTTAGAGTGCCCACTGTCATGGCATCCACAACCCTACTCAGCGCTCCTCGTTGCAGCATGAAGGCTGCATGACGGTCGCACACCGCCCGACGAGGAAGGCCGTGAGCTTCTCGAGGCAATAGCGGCGCGTCGCGCGCTGCAGCGGCCGGGGGGGCTTCGCCCTGCGTGCACCCTGCCCGCGTCTGCTCCGGCTTGGCGGAGCAGACGCGGGCGCCAGCGGCCGCGAGTGGGGGTCCCCGGGTCGGCCGCGACCCCGGCGCCCGCTCTCTCGGGGGTGGCAAAGAGGGGGGTGATGATGATTAAGGGGGGTGGATCTCATGGCGGGGACCATGACATCGATGTCTCCCCAGATTTCGCGGCGTCCCTTCTTATTTCAATGCGTCCCCGGCCGCCAGCTATAATCTGCGCCCCCTGGGCCGCGCACGTGCCGCCAGCTATGACTTGCGCCCCCTACTCTTCGACGCCCTCCTCTCGGCCGCCCCCGGCTCTCGAGCGCCGAGGCTTCCCGTTGCACGATGCTGTGCTGCACGTGCGGCAGCGATCGCCAGGGACCGCAGCGGTGTTCCGAGGCGCGCCCCTGCAGCGGGCCCTGGCCGCATTCTCGGGCCCTGTGGCCGCACCTCTGGTCTCCGGCTGCCGTTCGGGACGATTTGCCCCCCCCCCCCCCCCCCCTCGGGAGCGGAAAAGAGGGGGGTGATGACTAGGGGGGGGGGGATTTCATGGCGCGGGCCATGATTTTTCCTCAGATTTCATGGCGCCTCTTCTTATTTCATCACGTCCCAGGCCCCCCCGCTGGGCCGCGCACGTGCCGCTGGTCATGATTAGCACCCCCCCCCTCTTGGACACCCCCCCTCTTGGCCGCTCCCGACCCCCCCCCCGGAACGCTCTTTTGCGAGGCGCCGTTGCTGGAGTGGCCCGACTCCGCGCTCTCCTCGCCGCGCTTCGGCGTCGACGACCTCCAGGCCGCCGCGCCGCCGCGCCGCCCTGGGCCCGGTCCCCCTCCCCGGGAGAGGAGAGGAGGGGAGGGGAGGAGAGAGGAGGGAGAGGAGGGAGGGGAAGGGAGGGAGGGGAAGGGAGGGAGGGGAAGGTAGGGAGGGGAAGGGAGGAGGAGGAGGAGGAGGAGGAGGAGGAGGAGGAGGAGGAAGAGACGGATGAGGAGGTGGAGGAGGAGGAAGGGCGGGACGTTCAATCGGGCGGGCAGGCGGGGCATCAAGCGAAGTCCGTCACTCGTTGACGGGACAAGGTAGGCAGAACATGTGCAACATGGAATAACCTGCGTACGAAGGCGGCGAGGGCGACGACCTTCGAGACATTACTGTGCGCGGGCGCGCGGGGCATTAAGTGTGAATTTCAATCGTTGGTAAGGAGACGTTGTCATCGTCGTGGTCGTTGTCTTTGTCGTCGTCGCGATCGCGGTCACAGTCGTGGTCGCCGTCGTCGCGTCGTTTGCCAGCGACGGAGGGGGGGAGGGGGGGAGTAGTACGTATTCCACCCGCCCACCTGAAGCGACCGCGAAACACGCTTTTTCAAAATCCACCAGGCCCAATGTTTATCATAGAGCATGTGGAGGACGAGAATTACCAGTCCTCCACGGCTACAATCCAGTTCGAGATCCCCCCTCGGGGGCCAGAATCCTTGCAAAACACAATGTATAAGTTCTTCTGATTCTCTCGTAATTTTGGGCGGATGAAGTGATGCGGAACACCCAGAGAACGCGCAAGACCGCCTAGAAGCGCCCGAAGCTTTGGGCCGTGCCTACGGCACGTGGCGGATGCCTGACGCATCGCCAACGATGTCGCATTCCCGTTCCTCTGGAAGAGCAGCCTGACAGGCCCCATGGGAAATTCATGGTTCTGGTCATTGGCCTTCCGTCGACGAGTCGTCGATGTCGCAAGCCGAGAAGACAACGTCTGCTTTTGCCGCCGAGCCGTCATTTGCACCTCCTCTCGGACCGCTTGCCTCGTCGCCAGCACCAGCGTCGCCATCGCGAGGAGCATAATCATTGGCTGGTTGGGGATACAACTCTAAAGCGCAGTACCTGTTTCATGCGGTGTTGTGTGTGTGTGTGGCCGCACCCAGATCTTATGGCTGCCGGCGGCTGCGGTCTCTGAGGCATCGGGCGTGTTTAGATGCGTTTGCGCTTGCTGCTTTTCGGCCTTCTCCGCCCTGTCGCTGCGCGCGGGGCCGTGGCGCCAAAAAGTGTGTGTGTGTGTGTGTGTGTGTGTGTGTGTGCGTGAATGTGTGTGCGTGTGTACCTGGGGGGAAGTCCAAGTCACCCGTGGGGGCGCGAAGAGAATAGCGCTTCGCGCGCCGCGGTCTGGGCCCGGGCCAGATCGGCTGCCCGCCTGAGGAGGAGGAGCGGCACGCGGGCGCGAGGCCGCGAAGGTAACCGCGCACCGCGGGGCGCGATGCGCGAAGTTGGGTGACCCGGGGGCCGTGACGGCGCGGGACGCCCAGGCTGGCCGCTGGTCGGGGACGGTGCCTGCCGCCGCAAGCGCCCCCGCGCGTGGCGCTCGCGGAGGGGGGGGGGGGGCAGCCCATGGCTGGGGTGTTGCGCACCCATGGTTGGGGTGCTGTGCACCCAGGTCGGGCAGGCGAGAAGAGGAACGCCCAGACTTGCGAGCGGGCGCGGAGAAGGCGACGGGGAGGAGCTCCCTCCCTCTTCGTCCCCCTCCTCCTCCTCTGCTGCCGTCCTGCCCAGCCGCGGCCTGTCGTGCTCCTCGCCACCCTCGGGCTGCCACAGGCGGGTGCCGCGGGCCACCAGGGCCCTCGTACGACCCTTGCGAGCGCCTGGCCTCTTGAGCAGGGCTCGATCCGTGGGCACGCGCGGCCCACGGTGCTGGCGGGATTGCAGAAGTAGAGGGCAGGGAGGAAGAAGGGGAAGAAAAACAAGAAACACAACAATAATACGAATGGTGATAATAATAAGAAGAACAATACGTACAATAAGAACAGTTAACTCATAAAACTAATAGTAATGAGACGAAGAAGAATAATCATCATGCGAATGATAAGAAGAAGCGCAGCGGGGGTCAGAAGCGAGCTTTGCCGTGGCCGTCGAGACACCATGTTGGCGTGACCAGGCATGTTCTGAGGTCTGGGTGGATTTCTTGGGGCTGCAGTGGGCCCCCCTGGCGGCGCCTACGGGGCAACTCCTGGCGCGAGAAGCGCGCCAGGGAGGGGTTCCAATGAGGAGAATCAAAGTACACGGGTGAAATTGACAGCCCCTAGTGCGACAGGAAGGGGGCATCAGCGTACGCACGAGCCCTGCAGGACCGAGCGATTTTCGAGCTCCAGCGCCAATCCATGTGAACGCACCCCCTGCGAGCCGAAAGGGGCAGCGGGCACAGGAGAGAGCGGACATTCGGGAGGGGATCGGCCCTTCGGTCAGCCCTGACCTTGCACAATCCAAGCGCTCCGAGTGGACCTTTCAAATGCGGTAGGTTCATGCGGCGTTGGCGCGCTGGCGACGCCGGCGAAGGCGTTCAAGGTTGAATGCGACGCGGAAGCACCGAGGGACACGGTAACGTCCTTGGACTTGACCCGTCGGAATTCAGTCTTGAACCATCGGGGCCGCGATCGATTCAAGGTTGCACGATCGACGCGGTGTCAAGAACTTGTGCGCGCGCCGACGCCGCACGAACCTACCGTATGTTGGTTCCTCTTCTTCTGGCCTCCGTCAGGGGAGGAAACGCCACCCAGACCCCGACAATCTGCGTTCACGGAACGGCCCTGGGTGTTCACGAAACAGCCGTGCCCCGTTCGATCTCTTCTTCGGGTGCGCTCACTCAACGACGGCTGCTCTTGTCGCCTGTCGGGGTGACTATCAGGGGGGTGGATTTTCTGCCCTCTTCTTCTTCATTCTTTCTTTTTTTCCTCCTTCTTCTTCTGACCGCCGCTGCCCCGCCCTGTGTATCCTATGCCGGTTCCCCTTCTGCTGGCCTCCGCTACCCCGCCCGCACCGAGGAGCCTCGAGAGTCTCCCCAGGAGGGCCCCAGCAGGCAAACATCGCCCCACTCGCTGCGGGAGCCGTGCAGGCCCGTGCCCCCCCCCCCCCCCCGGCGGAGGCATACGTTCGGCCCATTTGGGCGCCGCGTAATGGGGGGGTCATAAATGGGGGGGCGGCGAGGGTGGTCCGAAAAGGTACCCAAACGGTACCTAAACGAGCCCCCTGGGGCTCTGGAGGGGCCCGAAAGGGGCACGAAAGGGGACCTCTTCTGACCCCCCCATTTGTGACCCCCCCATTAAGCCACGCCCAACCCACATCACAAGGATGCGCGGAGAGGGTGCACGGGCCTCGGACGCCCCTTTCGAAGCTGCTCGAGCGGAGCGAGGCCAACGGAAGGTGGCCAAGGGTGTACCGAGGAGGCAAGGGTGCCCTTGGGAAGCATGCCCATCCTTATTATATCATGCGGGTTGACTGTATGGTGGGTGAGCGGACAGCCCAGGGGTTGGCGGCGGGGCGGTACCGCGCGCGTGCCGGCTTCGGGGAGCCTCTGCCGAGGGCGTGGGATAGGTTCATGGGGGGTTCGAGGCCCCGAGGATTTCAGGCGTTTTCGTTGGTTCTAGGTGGCTTTCAGCCTCGGCATGCCTTCCAGCAGCTGCGCCTCGCCGAGAGTTTTCCGAGGGTAGCCAGAACGTCCCGGACGGCCGCCGAAGAGCCGAGTGATGTCCCGAAAGCCAGGGGGCAACTCTAGTGAGGGGGATCTGGTCAGGGGGGACGCATCGAGCCCCAATCACCCATTGATCGCCGATAGGGGTCGGATACCCCACCCCGCCCAGGACCGTGCGGTTTCTCTATCGAGGGCCTATCGCCGATCTATCGGCGATGAATCGCCAATTCCAGGTCGATGTCCCCCCTATGCCCGCCCCCCCACCCCATCGTTGCCCCTCGCCTCGTGTCGGGAGCTTTGAGACGGGGGTGCACGCAAACGGGGGCCAGCCAGAGCGCCACGCCTTGCAGGATCCTGCAGAGCCAGGGGGGCACTGATCTGGGCCTGCGTGCAGGATCCTGCAGGCTCCTGCAGGATCCTGCAAAGCCCGGATGAACCGGGTCTGGATTGACCCGGGTCTGGATTGACCCGCGATGGCAGCCGCAGTGTGCCCGTCGTCGCCTCCCCTGAGATCCGACGTTTTGTGCAAAAAGCAATATCGCAAGACAAATCACGGCCGGGGCCCTGGCCTCCGTTTTTCTGCGGCATCGGTCGAGCCGGATCGATCCGTGATGCTCCCCCGAGCCCGACCTTGGCCAAAAACGCAGGGTCTAAAAAAGATGCAACGCTGAGATGTTTTGGGGAACTCTTCGGGGAGAAAGAGAGGAGGAGAGGGAGGAGGAGGAGGAGGACGAGGAGGAGGAAGAGGAGGTGGAGGAGGAAATGGAGGAGGAGAAGGAGGAGGAGGAGGAGGAAGAGGAAGAGGGGGCGGAGGGGGAGGGGGAAAAAGACAGGGAGGGGGAGGACGAGGAGGAGGAGGAGGAGGAGGAAGAGGAGGAGGAGGAGGAGGAGGAGGAGGAGGAGGAGGCATCCCCCCGCCAGAGGTCAGAGTCAGCCACCCCGTGGCCGCGCCGCCGACCCCGCGGCAGTGGCTCGACGACTTCGAGTTCGCCGTCCTGTAGGGCCTCTGTTGGCTGTTGTGCTCGCCTCCAGGAGTGCTCCAGGAGTGCCTCCAGGAGTGCTCCAGGAGTGCCTCCAGGAGTGCTGTTGGCTGTTGTGCTCGCCTTTGGACGGCTTCCGCGGAGTGCTCGCAGGAGCGTCCCGGGCCGGGCTCGCCAGTGTCGTGCATCGGTGCTGCCAAAGGTGGCTCTGGCCCAATGTTCAGGGGTCACGTTAGGAGGGGAAAGGCTCAGGGGGTTCGAGGCCCCGAGGATTTCAAGCGTTTTCGTTGGTCCTCGGCGGCCTTCAGCCTCGGCATGCCTTCCAGCAGCTGCGCCTCGCCGAGAGTTCTCCGAGGGGACCCAGATCGTCCCGAGCGGCCGCCGAATAGCCGAGTTGTATCCCGAAAGCCAGGGGGCAACTCTAGTGTGGGGAATATGCTCAGGGGGGATGCAACGACCCCCAATCGCCCATTGATCGCCGATCGCCGCCCGATAGCCCCTCCCGCAAAGGACCGCACGGTTTCGCTATCGGGAGCCTATCGCCGATCTATGGGTGATGCATCGCCCGTTCCAGGTCGATGTTTCCCTCCTCTAGCCGGTCCCGCTTCAATGCTCCCCCTCGAAGGTGGCTGGTCCCAGATGGCCTCCTCCTCGTCTTCCTCCTCCTCCTCCTCCTCCTCCTCCTCCTCCTCCTCCTCCTCGTCCTCCCTTTCCTCCTCCTCCTCCTCCTCCTCCTCCTCCTCCTCCTCCTCCTCCTCCTCCTCCTCGTCCTCCTCCCTCTCCTCCTCCTCCTCCTCCTCCTCTCCTCCTCCTCCTCCTCCTCCTCCTCCTCCTCCTCCTCCTCCTCCTCGTCCCTCCTCCTCCCTCTTCTCCTCGTCCTCGTCCTCTACCTCGTCCACGTCCTCCTCCCCTCCTACTGTTCTTCCTCCTCCTCCTCCTGCTTCTCATCATCATCATCATCATCATCATCATCATCATCATCATCATCATCATCATCATCATCATCATCATCATCATCATCATCATCATCATCGTCATCGTCCATCGTCATCGTCATCGTCATCGTCATCGTCATCGTCATCATCATCATCACATCACCATCATCATCATCAATCATCATCATCCATCATCATCATCATCATCATCATCATCATCATCATCATCATCATCATCATCATCATCATCATCATCAATCATCATCATCATCATCATCATCATCATCATCATCATCATCATCATCATCATCATCATCTTCATCTTCATCTTCATCTTCATCTTCATCTTCATCTTCATCTTCATCATCATCATCATCATCATCATCATCATCATCATCATCAGCATCATCATCATCATCCTCTCCTCCCCCTCCCCCTCCTCCTCCTCCTCCTCCTCCTCCTCCTCTTCTTCCTTCTCCTCAAACCCTCCTCCTTCTCACCCTCCTCCTCCTCCTCCTCCTCCTCCTCCTCCTTCTCCCCGTCCTCCTCCTTTTCCAGGGCCGTGGCGCTCACCTGCGTCCGCGATGCTAGAGCCATCTTGAGCTTCCAGGCGCGGGGATCGTGCATTTGGGGGAGTGGCGGGGCCGTGTGGTCCATAAGTTCCATGGGGCCTTCGTGCCTAGTGGACCTGGGGTACCAACCCAGTAGCACGTGTCATCTGTTTTGGCAGGGGTTGATCGTCGGGAAGGACTTCTACGCACCACCTCCATCACTTATGAGTAGCGAGTCGCGCTTCTACAAGGCGTTGACCTGTCCTTTGGCCGTGTTGCGCAAGCTTCTCGCTCGTGAGCGAGCGGCCTCCACTGCACGTGATGAAGAGGTATCCCCGCGTGAGGGCAGAGGGCGACCCCTTTTGCGATGAGGCAGTCTTCTCGTGTGAGGCAGTCCTCTCGCGCGGGTTCGCTTTTCCGTTCTCTATGGCTCCTCCTCCTCCTACTACTCCCTTTTTCCTCAAAGATAAATCCTCCCTGTCGCAGCCCGATGCCAGTTTTTAGAGCGGGCCGGGCGTCTAACCTGAAACTTCTCGCCGTTTATGATTCCGACGCTTTAAAAGTGACAGCAGTTTCACAGATGGATGGCGGGTGGTTTTCAACATGTGGCTCTCGCCATAGCGCCGCGCACATTCGTCTTTAATCTTTGCAGAGCTTCACGGATTGAGGGCGGGTGGTTTTCAAAATGTGGTTCTCGCCTTAGCGCCGCGCGCATTCGCTTTCAAACATTGCAAGAGCTTCACGGATTGAGGGCGGGTGGTTTTCAACATGTGCTTCTCGTCTTAGCGCCGCGCACATTCGTTTAAAACAAATGTAAGCGCTTCACGGATTGAGGGCGGGTGGCTTTCAACATGCGGTTCTCGCTTTAGCGCCGCGCATCGTCGATTTCTGAAAAAAATGCTGGAGTTTGACGGATTGAGGGCGGGTAGTTTTCAAAATGTGGCTCTCTCCTTAGCGCAGCGCGCATTCGTTAAACCGAATACAAGAGTTTCACGGATTGAGAGCGGATGATTTTCAAACTGTGGCTCTCGCGTTAGCGCCGCGCACATTCGATTAAACACATTGCAAGAGTTTCACGGATTGAAATCGGGTGGTTTTCACAATGTTGCTCTTGCATCAGCGCCGCGCCACTTCTTTTTTTTATTAGGAATGTGTAAGAGTTTCGCGGATTGGGCGGGTGATTTTCAAAATGTGGCTCTCGCTTTAGCGTCGCGCACATTCGTTTTGAAAAAAATACAGGAGATTCACGGATTGAGGACGGGTGGTTTTCAATATGTGGTTTTCGCCGTAGCGCCGCACTTTTCAATTTAAAGATTTGGTGGGGTTTAACGGGTTCCCATGATCAGCGCACCAGAAATGGTGTTTTGAGAGGATTCAGGATTTGCGGGCGCAACAGTTCTGTTGATTCGCTGTGTCGAAGTCCGAAAATGGTGTTGTGGTATGATTATGGATCGTCAAGACGCAGCGGTCAGGTTGATACGTTTCGCTGAAATCCCGAGAACAAAGTTTTGGCACGCCTCAGGATTTTCAAAGCGTTGTCTTCCCAACGAGGCAGTTCCCTCAATGGAAATGAACCGCTGTAGGGGCCTATGAAAAGGGAGTTTGGAAAAAAAAAGATGAATTCCAACATCGTTGATGACTGTTGGGTTTCCACTGATCCTCCTCCTCCTCCTCCTCCTCCTCCTCCTCCTCCTCCTCCTCCTCCTCCTCTTCCTCCTCTTCGTCGTCCTCCCCCTCCCTGTCTTTTTCCTCCTCCTCCTCCTCCTCCTCCTCCTCCTCCTCCTGGGCTATCATGCGTATTCGCGCGGATTCCTGATGATTCCTGTTGGTATTCGCGCGCGTTCGAGTGGGTGTCCAGTTGGCTCCGACCCGTGGACGAGGTGTTTGTTTTGTTTTTCTTCAGAGGTTTCCTGTGTTCTCTTGGGAGGCATATTGGGGAACTCTTTGGGCTTGGGGATATTTTGGAAGCCTTCGGGGTTTCTCGGGTATCTCTTGGGGCATTTCGGGTGTTTTTATGGCGCGTCTGGGGGCCTCCTGCGAGCCCGCTGGCGCTGTTCTCGGGGGCCATCATCGGGGAAAGGGCGCGGGATCTCAATTCTGGTCTTCCCTCTTGGAGCCGTCATGAGGGCCTCCTGGGCCCTCTTGGGGACCTCGGGGGTCGGTTTGGGGGGACCTTGGGGTCCTCTTGGGCGATTGAAAAACCGAGCATGTTAAAACAACCCCGAACAAGGAAGGGTTTGGGACGATTCTTGCTTTTTGGGGATCACAAGGGGCTTCAAGACGACCCCTGAGGCACCCGTGAGAGGCCCAGGACGGGCCCTTGGGGCCGTCTGAGCGACGCAGCACAACGGGCCCGATTGCGCAGACATTCGCGCCGAATCTGCCCGCGCAAGGTCGAGCTTAAGGTTCCCTCGTTTCCAATATAACGTGCCGCGTTGCCGGCCCGCGTAAGCAACCGCGTAAAGTCGCTATGACATCGCGCGTGTCTCTCAGCAAGAAGCACGTTGGGTGGCGGTGGGCCTCTGTAAAAGTCATGCGATGATCTTCAAGAGCGCGCGACGGCGCTCAGGGGCGGCCAGGACATGCCCAGAGCCCGGGGTCCGGGCGCTTGCAGTAGCCGGCGCAGTTTCGAAGGGACTTGAGGACACTCCATCCAGTGGCAGTGGCACGGTGGCGGATTCACACCATCTCTTCTGAGCGTCCGATTTGATTTCCTTGCACAGGGCGTTTAGAATTCCGACAAATCTATTTCGGCACGGCACGGGTCGATGCAGCCCCTAGGCCCCCACCACCCAGCGCGCTCCCTCCGCATCCACTTTCTAAAACAGCAATGCCGAAGCAACCTTTCGGACCTCCGCATCCCTCTCCCGCCAGCCAGCGCAGCCAACCCGCCAGCCACCGCAGCCAGCCCGTCAGCCAGCGCGCCCCCCCTCGGCACCGTTCCCACCAGCCAGCGCGCCCCCTCCGCCCCGACCGCTTTATTTCGGCACGGCACCGCCCCCCCGGCGCAGCCAACACCTCCGCCTCGACTCCATCTCGCCCCCTCCGCTCCGACCGCTTTATTTCGGCACGGCACCAGTCCGACCAGCCAGCGCGCCCCCCCCGCCCTGACCGCTGTATTTCGGCACGGCACCGGTCCCACCAGCCAGCGCGGCCCCTCCGCCCCGACCGTTCCATTTCGGCACGGCACTGGTCCCACCAGCCAGCGCGCCCGCTCCGCCCCGACCGCTTTATTTCGGCGCACAGCACCGCCCCCCCCCCCACCGGCCAGCGCGCCCCCTCCGCCCCGGCCGCTGTATTTCGGCACGGCACCGCCTTCGTCGCACCCCCAACGCAGCCAGCCCTTCCGCCTCGACCCCAGCGCGCCCTCTCAGCCCGGACCGCTTTATTTCGTCACGGCACCGGTCCCACTATAGCCAGTGCGCTCCCTCCGCCCCGACCGCTTTATTTCGGCACGGCACAGGTCCCACCAGCCAGAGCGCCCCTTCCGCCCCGACCGTTTTATTTCTGCACGGCACCGGTCCCGCCAGCCATCGCGCCCTCTCCGCCCCGACAACTTTATTGCGAAGGCCTTACGGCCGGTGCCGCCGACCCTGAATGGCGACGACGACGACGACGAGCGCTCTTGGGGGCCTCTTGGGGGTAGTTTGTGGGCCTCTTGGGAAGGTCTTAGGGGCCGCTTGGAAGCCTCGTGGGGGCCTCTTGGGGCTTCCTGGGGGTCTCTTGGAGGGGGCCTGGGACGTCTTGGAGGCTTCTTGGACGGTCTTGGGGCTGTCTTGGGCGTTTGCGGCAGATCCTTGGGCGCGACTCGGGGCCCTCTTGGGCCGTCTCGGGGGCCACCTTGGGCATTCGGACCTCACTTGGGGTGTTTTCGAGGCTTCTAGGCCGCCCGAGGAAAAACGAATGTGCCCCCCCACCCCTCCTGGGACCCCCTCCTCCTCCTCCTCCTCCTCCTCCTCCTCCTCCTCCTCCTCCTCCTCTCCTCCTCCTCCTCTCCTCCTCCTCCTTCCTCCTCCTCCTCCTCCTCCTCCTCCTCCTCCCTCCTCCTCCTCCCTCCTCCTCCTCCTCCTCCTCCTCCTCCCCTCCCCTCCCCTCCTCCTCCTCCTCCTCCCCTCCTACTCCACCCCCCCGGGACCCCCCCCTCCACCCCTCCCTGGACCTCCCCCCCCCCTGGGGAAGGGATCAAAGGGAAGGGGCTTCCCTTCGACTCGATTGCGACACTGCTAGATTTTTCTCTCGCTCACGAGCTTGAGAAGGAAGCTGCAGGGAAAGGGGACGACGGAGGCGACGACCGACGGAGACGACGACTCGAACAGCCAAGCCCCTCGCACACGCCGACAGGGTCGGCGGATTTCGGCACGGCACCGCCCCCCTCCCCCACCAGCGTGCGCGCCCGCTCCGCCCCGATGTTTTCACTTCGGCTCGGCACCGCCCCCCCCCTCGAACCACCCTCGCAGACAGCCCATTCGTCTCGACTCTTTGATTCTCTTGCACAGGGTGTCTAGAGCTCCGCCCCCCCATCCCGCGCGCACCCTCCGCCCCGACTTTTTCATTTCGGCAGCCCCCACCCCGTCCCGCACGCCCCCTCCGC